CGGGGGTGGCGGCGCGGGCAAGCCCAAGACCGGCCACCTGTGCCTCTACTGCGGCAAACTGTACTCACGCAAGTACGGGCTCAAGATCCACATGCGGACGCACACGGGCTACAAGCCGCTCAAGTGCAAAGTATGCTTGCGGCCCTTCGGCGACCCCAGCAATCTCAACAAGCACATCCGGCTGCACGCCGAGGGTAACACGCCCTACCGCTGTGAGTTCTGCGGCAAGGTGCTTGTACGCCGCCGGGACCTGGAGCGCCACGTCAAGTCCCGCCACCCAGGCCAGAGCCTGCTCACCAAAGCAGGAGACGGCCAGGGCGTCGAACCCGGCTATCCCCCGGAGCCTGGGGATCCCAAGAGCGACGACAGTGACGTGGACGTCTGCTTCACCGACGACCAGAGCGATCCTGAGGCCGGTGGCGGCGGCGGGCGTGACTCGTAACGTGTTTTCCCAGGAAGAGGAAGGGCGTGGACAGAGAGCAAGAGTGGGGGTCTGCTCTGGGAGAAGAGGAACTCCTGGTGGTGAGAAAAGGGACCCGGTTGACAAAACCTTTTTTATTTTTGGGAGGGCGCCAGTTTTGGAACACCGAGACGTCCCAGATCCGGTGCTGAAACTCAAGAGTGGGGGTCTGCTCTGGGAGAAGAGGAACTCCTGGTGGTGAGAAAAGGGACCCGGTTGACGAAACCTTTTTTATTTTTGGGAGGGCGCCAGTTTTGGAACACCGAGACGTCCCAGATCCGGTGCTGAAACTCAAAGAGCAAAGGCTCAGAGGTGGCTTAAAGAAATCCAGCCGTACGGGTAGCCCGAGGGCGGCCAGTCCTCCTGCACCGCAGGACTCCGGACTCCTTGGATGGGTCCTCCCTGTACCGCCCAGGTGGTCTGCTCTTCGGGTTTAGGATCACATTAATGCGAACGTCACAGCGCCCTGGAGGGCACCGAGTTTAACTGCCACGTGTTTTAAAATTATACTTTTCTGTGGAGGAAATTGTGCCTTTTGAAACGATGTTTTGTGTGTATTTAACATTAGCATTTCACTGCATAGGCAAAACAGTAGTCACAATTCGGTAGATGTGACATCTATACACTTGTTTTCATTTCATCAGTTTTCATATGAAAGACTACGCCTTGCCGCATTGAATATATAATGGTAGCAGGTGTACAAATTGGTCAAGTTGCAATTATTTATCAGAGAATAATGATAAATGTAAAATATCTAAAGCATGAATCTAAGAGCACGCAATATATAATTTTAAGAAAATATCTTATTTGGTAGAGTACAAATGTGGTGTATGTTGTTTTATAACGAATGATGTACAGTGGATACAATATTGTGGTTTTGGTTCCAGTTTGTGCAATCTTTAAGAAAAATAAAGATACAAACCAGAGTTTGTTCATTTAGCGATTTCAGCAGATCCTTTAAAGAAGTAGTTTAATCTGAAAACGATTTTCGAGGAGACTCAACAGTAAAATAAATCGTAGGGCATTTGAATACATTGACTATTTATAAAATAAATGTTAAGTAGTGTTGTAACAGGGAAATGTCCCATTTTCAATATGTGCATTTCACAGGTTCCTAGATAGTAGACAAAACAATTGTTTTCTGAAACCATTATTAATCACGCTAAGTGTTTTTAGGTTTACTGAAAGAAGCTAACGACCTTTAGAAACAAAAACAAAAATAAAAACCCCACATATTATCCCTTGTCAAAAAGAATTACAGAACTGTAGAATCATTCTTTATCTCTTGTGCTCCATTCTGACAGAACTTTCCTTGGGAAGTAAAAAGGAAACTTGGTCAGTGCCTTTCATGATTCATACATTTTCGTATTCATTCAACAAACAGTGAAGGTGGATCTATTTTGTTGGAGATGCTGATCTATTTGCTTTGCTTAGGTTTTTTTCCCCACATGCTACTCCCACAATCTCCTGCTGTCAGTTTGGTCCCATTTTACACACGAGGAAAATGTACTCTTCAAGGTCACTGGGAGACTCATAATTAGAACTGCAAAATTAGAAGCAGTGACTGTACAAGTATTTACTGGATTTAAAAAATCTAATGCTAGCTAATGGAAGGATATCGTAAAGAATATAATTCTGTGGGCTAAAATTGGAAGGCAATGTCCCTCCTCCCTATATACACTGTGGGGAGGATTTCACTGTAGCAAGTGGAGGGTTAGACAGCCCCTCAGCTGAGGGCCAGCACCCTAAGAGCACAGTTCTGCAGCACTTTTCTCAGAGGTCAATTACAAGATTCTGGTAGGTCACCAAAGGGTCTGGATAGGACCCTGATGATTTAACTCAGTTAAAAATGCCCTTTATTTTCAGAATCCTGAATGCTTTGCAAATCTCCACCCTGTTGTCTCCCAGTTGGGAACACTGCCTCAGTCAAGGAGTGGCTGGTAGGAACTTTTTTGTCACATTACAGCAGGAGGCATGGTTGGGAGAGGGCATCTAATTTCTATTGGTGGTGATCTGTGAAAAGATTTCTTCTATGAGAAAATTTATTCTAGGAATTATAGGTTTTTAGTGTCAACTGACCAGAAAATGTTTTGTAAGAGCTGAAGGGGGGAAGGGGGTGGGAAGGTAAGTGTGGATTAACATGTAAATATGGTGACAGAGATGCTACCATTTATTGAGGATCTACACTGTGCAAGATTGCAGTTCTTTCCTCTCTGAGGAGAACTGTGGGATTGCCTCACTGGGCTCAGGGATGGCCTTGCCACAAGAACTGGAAGTGAACATAAGCATCTGCTTGCTAAGTGTGGGCTCCAGGAGCCCAGAGTTTCTCCATAACTGCTTAGTGGTCCTACTCTTTGAAGCAATTATTGCTAGAAACCAAACCCACCCTCGTAGAAGAATATTGGAAAACCTTTCTGAAATCAGATTATGTAAGTCCTCAGGGAAAGTGAGAAAGGCTGTCCAGATTTGAAACATGGGAAATTATGTCAGCTATAAAATTATTGCTCCCCTCTCCCATTTCCTGACTCAGTACTAACTCCTATAACTCCTGTTGTTTTGTGTGAAAATAGGCCATAAGGAAATAAATTAAAAATAATTTGGTCAAAGGAGATAAATTTAGAATTGATAAAGACTTAATAAAAAACCCAGCCTTCTGTTTCCCCATTTGTAAACTGGTAACTATTAGAAGCTTTTAGAACAGACTCCAATATAAAAAATGAAAATTGAACATAAACTTAAAAGGCTCTTAATCACAGGTCACTTGTAATTCTCCATAGGTTGCCTCAGATAATCCGTATATTTGTGTGTGCATACTATCATCATACATAATTAATGCCGTTATTTATTTTAATGGCGAAATCAAGTCAGTGGTATGGAATCAGGAACAATTTTACTTATTTCAAGTGGCTCAGTTAAATTAGCGTTTCTCAGATTAATTCTTTCAGTCTCCTATCCCTTTCCCTCCACACCCCTCAGCCCCCATCCTTATCCTGGAGCCCACAACTAGCTTTGACAGTTATGCTAAAGCCACTTGAAGTTTCAGGGATTCTAATTTTTTGTTCTTTTGTACAAAAGATTAAAAAAATAAAACAAGAAAGAACAGGAAAGTTTCAGGGATTCTAATTTTTTGTTCTTTTGTACAAAAGATTAAAAAAATAAAACAAGAACAGGAGGGGAGGATTCGTGTCTTTCAGAAGTGAAAGACTCTACACTGTATGTAGTTAATTTGGGCGTTAAAGTGTTTTGCTAACCTAAATAAATCAGACAAACCTGGGCTCTAGTCTTGCCTAGCTCACTTAATAGTTTAGGCCAGCTTCTCCATTGCCTCAATTTCTTCATTTGTTAAATGGCGAAATAAGCAATAGGATAGTTGTTAACACTATATGAGTAATGCAGTTACGCTGCTTGAAATCACTCCTGACGCACAGTAAGCGCTCGCACAAAATTAAAGCAATTTAGCAACCTTTGTGTTTTCGTTTTGAAGATATCAACCAAAGGAGATAAGGGTTAGCGTCCTTTTATAAGCATTAGCATCTTTTTGAAGGACACTCGCTTTCCTCTTGGTTTAGTTCTAGCCGGGCTCACATCAACTTCGGTAAATAAAGGCCTTCGACACTTGCTAAGGGGAAACTTTTTCAGACCCCTTCTCAGGCCATCTTTTCATTTTAAGCTCAGATACCGGTTCAAATGGTTCGCAGCGGTCAATTGTGTAGGAAGAAGAATGCTCCTTTCGTTTGTTTTCACTAGTTTTTTTTTTTTTTTTGAAATTGTTTTCACTAATTTTTGAAATGCTTGGCTGGGCAGTGAGGGATGAGCTTATGCGGAGGCATGCAGCGGAGGTGAACCCACGTGCATCTCCCTTCCTGAGCCTAGCAGAGAGCGAAGCATCCATCAACAGCTGCAGTTTCACGAGTCCCTACTTCGGGGAATGTGTATTTACTGTCTGGACTTCGAGGGAAGTAGGTGAGTGGTTAGAACTGCAGCTCAGAGGATTTGGAGGCGCGGTGGCAGTGCTAGTGCTGGGGTTCCAGAGCCAAGAGGGCGCGGATTGGCTGAGCCTTGTTCCTCCGAGCGCTCCCACTGGCTCGTCCCTTGGAGCCAGGGTTGCTATTGGTGGCGGATTGGCAGCGCGCGAAGGTTTGGGCAGGCTCTGCCTCGTGAGAACCCCCGCACCGAGTGGCGGCGTCGCAGCTTGGGAGGGTTCAGCGGCGCCTGGGCGGAGGGCGCGCGGAGGGGAGTCGCTATCCGTGTGTGGCGCTCTTGCGGCTCCCAGCTTCGTTCTTCCGGGGAACAAGGGTTTCCGGGTTCTGGGTTGGGGCACAGGTCTGGGAGTGTGGCCGCGTTTAGGGGTCAGTCCGGGAGCCCTGGAGGGGCCGCGGTTGTTTCAGGCCGAATCGGTCCTCGTTTGCGCGCTCCTGCCCCGCGTGGCGGGAGCGGAGGCACCAGCGCGGTGCGCCCTCGCCATCTGCCGCTTCCCCAAAGGGAAGAGGGCAGAGTCGCTGGCGCCATCGGGAGGTCAGACGTGACCCTTGGCCACCCAGGTGTGACTTGTGAAGGAGAGGACTCAGCAGACGGCGGGGCCAATGTGTTTAGTTCCAGAAGGAGCGTGGCGCTCGCTCTGGGCTGGGTGACCTTCCTACAAAAGATGAAAGGAGAGCTTCTGTCATCTGCGACTGTTGTGTAATTCAAATTCGCTGTAACGTTGTACGGCAGACAACTTGTCAATGCCTTGGCTTGCGAGGGTTCTTCAAAAAGGGACTGAGATTGGATGGACTGTATTTATACATGTAATCCCTTTAAAGACATTGGTTTTAAGTATGGTATGTTTTAATTATTTAAAGTTAACATTTCACGTAAATAACAGATAAAAACTAAAGCACAAGTTTATTAAAGAATATAAGTGATAGCATAGCATAAAAGATAGATTTTTGGTAATTTGAGTTAAGCAGATGAAGAGAAATGTTTTTATGTAGGGTGAGGAA